ATAAAAGTAATATCTTAATGTAAAAAAAAATACAAAGAAATTAAATCAGGTACATTTAATCAACAACTTTTTCAATTATAATTCATGTCTTATTGTATACAATTATCAGTAAGCTACTTATAAGCATTTAAAAACTTGACACTAAACAAATGCAATACATTAGTGAAAATTTACCTAATAATTTGAAGCAAAAAGTTCTATTTTGGCAAATACTTTCTTTCTTGCTACTTAGCATGAATTGACTCTAGCTAAAGCCATTTGTACTTATTTATAATTAAAGCGTACTTAATTTTTTTTTGGCCATAATGTCTTATTCGTAATAAATTGGGTAATCAAAAATCACAAATGCAATACATTCTATCAATGCTTATTTTGTAAATTACATAATGACAAGTCAAGTACTAATTCAATTATCATTTTAAATGATTTATATCTTTAGTACGATTTGCTTATAATTACATTGAGCATGAATTGAATCTTATTAATATCATTTTATGATGAATGGCTCATTAATAAATAAATAAATACACTAATCAAGTCAACAAATAAAATTTAGCACAGCTTATTGTCGGAAATTTGACACTTTTAGTTGTAACCAGAATTATTTCTGGCATAACTTAATTGAGCATATTTATATAGTACCTACATCACATTTATATACTAGAAAGATAAAAACAACAAACTGAATTATATTCAGTAACTTTCTTCTAAAAATATGCAAATGTCAAATGCAATATTTAAAATAATGATATGTACAACATTAACAACTCATATCATAGATGTGCCGATTCAGATGTTTTTGATTTGAACAATTTCAGTTTACAAGAAATGCATTTAAAATTAACAACAGTGAATATCTATAGATACAGAAACAAGTTAATATAAAAGTGTTTGCTTTCCTGAGAAGCAAATTTTTATCATTTGTTAAATTATTTCTTATTAAAATTTAAAATACAATAAAATTAAAATTAAGTCGAGGTGTAATAAAATTGTATACAAAAATATTTATTGGCATTCTATCAATTAGAATATTTCAATTCGAGAATATAACCCGCAACCTAGAAATAACACTTAAACTAACATTTTGTTCAAAAATCGTCCCCTAAGCCTCTTATTTCAATTTATGATGTGTCACTACTTTAAAATGCTATTTGAATGAGATTTGACGTGAAAATATTGCTAAATTTCATAACAGTTTTGGATATGCTATGTTTGATCTCCAAATATAAGACGTGAGTAAACTTACAAGCTAACGTAACTAGATTAAAAATTTGCAACTAATACAGTTAAATTGTTTTCTGTTATCATGGAGCTAAAAGCATACAAATATACAATTCTAACATTTTATATAATTCCAGAGTCCGTTTCAACTACAATTTTTCAAAAAAAATTAAATGTAAATTTATCAAGTGTATGCTATCTACTTGGCAATATTTAATGCCACAAATTGCACATTCAAATGCATCGACCAAAATGCTGCATATTGATAAATACGAAACGGAATGTGTAAGTTAAACAATTGAATATAGAAATTTAATTCAAATCATAAAGCGTCTTAATTCCCATTCTAATCGGCACATCAATAATAATTAATATTTTGGCAACTTAGTATTTCATTGTCATAGTACTTACTTTGCACTTTCATTTAAATATTTTTTTAAATTCTATATACATACGCCAATGAAAATTTATTCAGCTAAATTGTGGGCTTTTTGCCGACGTAAATCTGACTTTATAGCTGCTGTCATTATGGTTCCCACCAAAAGCATGAAGCTTAATGACAGATTGGCCACCATGTCGCCGAAACCATCCAGAAGTTTTGCGTAGGCCATTGTGAACAAAATGCCGAAAGTCTAGAAATAATGAGATATATAATAATAATAATGCATACTAATGTAAGATGAATTTTCAATTTAATTAGCGATGGTTTTAATTAGTATTCTAACTATTTGGTATTGGTATTTTGCCTTGAGACAAGTTACATGAACTTCCCGATATGTGCAAATAATCGACTTAATTAATAAAATATAAATTAACTTATAAGTGATTAAAAGTATTCCAAGTGGATTCATTACACATAATTGAAAACGAACGAACATGTTAAACTCGGGAAAGAAATTTTAAAAAATCAACAATTTTTATAATTAAACCAGTTTCCGCAGGTAAACAAGTACTCTATCGCTATACCAAGTAAATGTCTAAACTAAGTCTAACTTTAATTTTAACAAACGTCAAAAAAAACTACTCATTTTTTCAAACTTTGATAATTTTTTAAAATTAAACTACTTGTCATAGGGCCATAATATTTCAGTAAGGTCTTATAGAACTTCCGGCCACAATATATCAGTAAGTTTTATAAGACCATGGTATATAGGACCAGACCAGGGTCTATAAGACCATGGTATATATCGCCAAAAAAAAGTTCAATAAAAATCGGCTTAAATTTTATTTTCAACAGTTAATTACAAGAAAACGGCTCGGTAGATTTTCAACTAAAATTATTCAGTATCATTACCAACTAATATCTTTCGAACACCTTTTGATTTTTTAAAATCGATTCGGTAGTATGAGCTTAAATGTGGACGAATTTTACACTTACTTCCAAATTACAAAGAAACGGTTCGGCCGGAGAAACGATAATCCTCATCGAGATATATCAAATAACTTTCAAATTCCTGAAATCGTTTCAGGCGGTCAGGAGCAAACGTCGATGAAAGGTCTAATTTTGGTAAACGCCGAAATAAACGATACTAATTTATGCAAACTTTGACGATTTTTTAAAGTTAAACAAGTTGTCGTAGGTCCGTAATATTTTAGTATGATCTAGAAGACTATGGTATCTACCGTCAAAAAATAATAATGAAAATCGTGGCAAAAAAAATTTCAACACTTTATTATAAGAAAACGGCCCGGTAGATCTTTACCAAAAACAAGTAAGCACGATTCCCAATTAATATCTTTGCTTGTGTGGACGAGAAAATTGTTTTTGGAAAAAGCATACTTTTTTTTAATTTCAAACAATATATTTTTTATTATCCAAAATAATTCGGATTTTAATTTTAATTCTAGCTAAAATTCTAGAGGTCACTGATATACTTCGAATAAATAATTGTAATGCTAGTGATGCCATACACTACTAGTTTTAGTGATTTAATTGATATAGTAAAACTAATAATGTCTAAAAATTGTAAAAACTGTATGATTATATACATATAACTATAACACTGCGTCCTTTATGCAAATACAAGGTACTATTTTAGCGTTACGCGCGTGTGAACTGGCTCAGATTTTTCCAATTTTCCAATGTGCTCCACAAAATTGATTTGAACGATATTTCCAGTATTAAAAGAAAACACAATAGCATTTCGAACAACGCTAATTAGAAAGTGGTCCAACTAAACGCACTACCCGAAAACATCAATTGAAAAATTGATTATATCTTTTTTAGCTATAATAATAAATGATTATTTAGCGTTTTTTAGAATTGCGTTTTTTCGATACCTTTTATGATTACGCCACAAAGTGAGTTTGTATGAGATTTTTTCAATTATATCTCGGCCATAAGATGGGGTACAAAGTTGAAAATTGATTTTTCCACAAAGATTTTTAAAATGGCGTATAAATTATTTAAATCCAGAGCCGTTTTTGAGAAAACGCCGATGAAAGGTCAACAATCAGCTCACATTACTTTTCAGCTCACCAACATATACTTTTTTCAAAATAGATCTCATTAATAATCATAGAAATTTTGTGAAAAGTACATAATATTTATTTGTTATCGCTCAACGCAATTACTAGCTCTTATCAGAGATGAAGTTAACTTCGACATAATTTGAACAAAATTATACTAATTCACTAATAAGATGACAGATTTATTCGGTCAACTCAGAATTTAAATTACGAACTAATTTATAAGAGAATAATCCATACCTGTGCAGCGGCATTCAGCAATCCAGCTGAAGTGCCCTCGGGCTCGGGATATGTTAGTTCGGATCCAAATTCAAACCCAACTGGCAAATATCCAGTCATGAAGAACCTTGAATGCGACATTTATTAAAATTCATACAAAAAATACATTCATTACATATATGTATAAGTATTGTGTTGAAAGTATGATTTATTATAACTAGCTGCAAACGTTCACGCGTCGCAGTGTTTTACTTTTAATAAAAACTATGAACTAAAATGCATAATTGCTACATCTAGTCTACCAGGTTTCTTGTCTTTCTGCCTACCTCTCTACCTGTCTAACAGTTTACCTGTTTACCAATTTTCCTGTCATCCCGTTTTACATGTCTACCAATTAACCTGTCAACCTGTTTATCTATCTACATATTCGTCTATCTACCAGATATCCTGTCCAATTTACATATCCACCGTTTATCTATCTACCAATTTACCTGTCTACCTGTTCATCTACGTATATATCTATCTACCTGTTTAACTATTTATCTGTTATTTACCTGCCTGCCCAGTCTACTAGTCTACCAATTACCAATTAATTATAAAAATATATAATTACTATAATAATTTTTATTAAAGAGGAGTTTGTGGTAGGAGGTTGAAGATTCTGGTTTATATGTGTTTTTAAAGATTTTAAAAAAAAGGTTTTAAAAAAATAAAAGAAGTCTTCGTGGCGGCTAACCCCTACAACTTCGCTTCAATCAAAATAGCGGAAAACTGTCTCAGGATTTACCTAACAAATTTCAGACATACATACATCCATTTTTATATATATAGATGGACTAAGAGTGTTCCAACCTCTGAACATTTTTTTCAAGTCCTAAAAAACATGATATTATGGAAAAATGAACTGGAAAATTATTTTATAAAGTAAATGAATGGATTATAAAAATAAGAACTGGAATAAATAGTAAGAATAAGAACAGGAGAAATAAATAGAGAAAATAAGAGTTATTTACCAGTATAATGATCAGGCATAAAATCAATAAAAAATATAAATTTCTTCTAAGAATTCATTTTACATTTATTGCACACATACTCTTTTTTGATAATTTAATGTTATTATAACTGTAAAATATTTTTATAATAACAAGTTTAATGTACACATTACATAGTGTATAGCCGGCATTCTTATACTATCGATTATTAAATTTTCTATTTTTAACACTAATATTATCAAACTGTAAGTACATTTAACTAAATTTTATTTTTTAGTATTCACTGAACGAAAACTAGGATTTTATCCGAAACGTTTTGCAATCCATGTAAAATAAATTCTTAAAATTTATGTTTTTTATTGATGTTATGGCCAATTATTAGACGCTGTTCTGATATATATATATATATATATATATATATATATATATGATTTAGTATATATATATAATATTTTATAATAATAATGTAGCTTACCCAAGAAGACCTGATGTAATGTAAACAACACTGATGTAACCACAGCTCAGAGTGAATGTGTATACGACCATGCCAACCATACTAAATCCATAAACCGCCAATGTTGTTTCCCTATAAAACAAAAACAATTTCATTAGTTTTTTTAGTCATTTCAAATCTTTTTTCCTTTTATTAACTTCCCGTAGGGTAATTTTATTTTATTTTATTGTTAAATATTTTTTAGCTTCCGAAAAGAGAAGTTTTTTTTTTTTAATTATTTTTCATAGCTATACAAAGTACATTCAGCTACATTTGTTACAGTTATATATTATTTGTCTGCGTGAGAAGGATCGCTATCCTGCGATAGCGCCTTCATAGAAGTTCTGTTATATTCTGTAGTAAATCATTGCGAATTCTTTTTTTGAGACGCTTTGGTGGTAAAGGCTTGAGCAGATCTGACGCTAATACGTTTGGATGACGACTTAGACGAGCTTTATATCTGGTGCAGTATAGATTAATTTCTTCTTCTATAGTTCGGATTCTGAGATCTTGATGTATCAACCAGTTGGGAACATATTTTAGAGCGTTCACGATTTCTTTCAAAATTTTGTTTTGGAACCTTTGTAGAATAGTTATATTCGATTTACTGGCCGCACCCCATAGTTGTAGGCCGTAGGACCATATTGGTTTAATTATTGTCTTGTAGATTAGGAGTTTATTTTCTATTGTGACTTGTGATTTCCAGCCCATTAACCAATTAAGTTGTTTTTAAAAGAGAAGTTAATGTTTTTTATGTTTTCTCGACGTTTCAAATCATTCTGAATCGAATGAGACCAAATTTGAAAAATGTATGTGTGTGAACACATTTGTTGACTGTAAATCGACGTTTTCTCAAAAACGACTGAACCGATTTCAAAAATTTAAAAGCCATTCGGTGTATCTCGATGAGGACTAGCGTTTATCAAATTTTGCGCGACGATCATCCAAGCCGTTTCTTTGTAAATACCAGAAAAGTAAATAATTTTTCGTACACGTTTTTAGCTCGCAATTCTGAATCGATTTTGAAAATTCAAAAACCGTTCGAAAGATATTGGTTGGGAATCGACTGATTAGTTTTTGGTAAACATCGACCGGGCCGTTTTCTTGTAATAAAGTGTTTAAAATTTTCTTTGCCCCGATTTTTATAAATTTTTTTTTTTTTTGACGGAAGATACCGGAAGGTCATGCTGAAATATTACGGCCTACGACAAATCGTTTAATTTTAAAAATTCGCCAAAGTTTGCAAAAATTAGTATTGTTTTTTGGCGTTTGTTAAAATTAGAACTTTAATCGACGTTTGATCAAAAACACATGAACCGATTTCAAAATTTTAAAAGCTAATCAATGTATTTCGAAGTGGATTATCTTTTCTCAGTTTTGTGTGACGATCGGCTGAGCCGTTTCTTTGTAAAGAGCAGGAAAGTGAAAATTTTTTCGTCCACGGTTTAGCTCTCAGTTCTGAATCGATTTTAAAAAATCGAAAACTGTTCGAAAAATATTAGTTGAAAATGATACTGATTAGTTTTAGGTAAAAATTTACCGGGCCGTTTCCTTGAAATTAACTATTGAATTTTTTTTGCCTATTTTTTAACCTTTTTTTGGCGATTGGTATCATGGTCTTATAAAACATACTAAAATATTACGGTCCTACAACAAATAGTTTAATGTTAAAAATTAGTTAAAGTTCGAGAAAATAGTGTAGTCAAAAGTTGCTTTTGTGATGTGATGAGTCAAACGTTTTAGGGCATACAAGCTATAATTAATATAATTACAGTTAATTTAAATGTGTTTGAGAAAATTCAATTGGAAATCGCAATATTTAGACTTAATTGAAAACGAATACTTTATTTTTGAAATGAACAGTTGAAAATTTTATCTAACGATGAGTATATAAATTTCACTATCGCGATTGATTAGGTCAATTCTTATACATTTCGGGAAGTTCATGCAACTTGCCTTGAGGCTAAATGCCACTTTAAACTAGTTTATATGATCAATTAATTTAATTTATACAAATATATAGATGTCGATCGGATAATCGGAATTGATTAGTTTTTCGTGGAAAGCAAAAGCTATTTACAAAACAAACAATTGATGGTTTTACCAAAACATGAAAATCTCAATTCTTACAGATAAAGTCGATTATTAACATGTATCAGAAAATTCATAGAACTTTTTTTAAGGCAAAACGCTACATATATATAATTTTATTTATTTATACTCGTATAGATGCTAATTGGCACTGCCAATTCACCAGTGCACGGGAAGTTTTGTAATCATAATGATACGCATATACATTATCGGATAAACATTTGTAATATTTTGTATCTATAAATTATTCATTATATTCTACTTTATAAACGTATTCTATAAAATTTCAAGAAATTTTAAAATAATCTGATTTTTTTTCTTCCTCTTTTCTTTATATATAATAGTTGCGTATAATAGTAGTTGTAACTACGCAATTAATGAAGGCTTCTATAAGAATCTATTCTTATAGAAGCCGCAAAAGCATTTTGGTAATCATCAAAGTAGTTTAGGTTCCAGTTATGTTTGTTGAATCTTTTAACTAATCAGTTTAAAGAGATATTAGGCACTGTTCTTTAATATATTTAGTAGAGTCGATTTTTAGGTTGGTCTTTGCCTTAATGTGTTGAAATCAACTTTTTTCGAAAGTTCCGATGACTATTTATCTCCGGACGATCAAGCTATTGTTCCGCCAACATTTTATGTTGTAAGAAGACATAAACTGTTTGCAGTCCATAGAATGTCTTACAGAAAATGTTTTTGCTTAGCTGAATTGCCACACACATTTATTTTAATTATGTTATGAAAATTGTATTTTCTGACAATTAAAACATATATTCATACAATCTCAACAATTATACTCACTTGAATCTATGAGTCTTGTCCAAAACCACTCCGCAAACTACAGAGCCCAGCATGCCAGCTAAAACGATGGTCAGACCTGCAGAAATATGAATTAAAACATCTTATATAAATATAAAGATCTATATACTGCAGATCACATTTTGCGCTAATTGTATATTTAATTACCTATTTTTCCAGCATCCTCCTCGTGACCCTATGGAGAAGAAAAATGGTTATAAAAATATCGATGATTATAATTGATTAGCAAATTAAAATAGTACTGTTAGAATAAGCATATTTCTAAGTGCCTTGGGTAAGAGATTATGAATCGCTATAGCAAAATATTGGGTACAAGATAGATGATACAAGTAAGGTTACGAGCTGCTTTATATATACAATAATTAAGCAGAAAATACAAATAATAGTATGATTTCATAACGAAAGCTATATTAACTATTCAATAAAAAAATAGAAATCTGCATTCTGAAGAAAAAATACAATGAAGATAGAAAAGTTAAGAACTACATTAATTTATCAACGTTTTTTTTATTTAATATCAGTATGAAAAATATTTGATCTTGCAACTTACTGGTAGTTGAAAGCAACTGATGTAAGAAGAATTATTCAAATCTTATTGGACACTGGAAACAAATGTAGTAAACTCGCAAAACCGACTAGAAAGGTATGAAAAATTTCAGAAAAAACAACCACGAGTTGTTTTCAAAATAGTTAATAGCTAATAATAAGTGTATAGAAAATAAGACATATAATACATCCCTCAATATGTAGGTTTATTATTTATATTTTGATAACAAAATTTTGAATAATTCGTAGTTGAAATGCGGGCTTTAGTATTTCCATAATCTGCAATATATGTTATATAAATATGTAATATTGTATATTATGAAAATAATATAGTCCACCTTTCAACCATGAAATATTCAAAATTTCCATATGCAAATATAAATAATCATACAGACTTTTTTGAGTGATGTGTTATATACATTATATAAATAAGTCATATATAAAACATTTATTGGTCATATTGCGATATTGAGTCATTTCATGAAACTTTGCTGAAGAAACCATATAGCTCTGAGGTGAAATACGAAACTATTTTCAATAAATTTTTCACCCATACCAATAATATATAAATTGAATTATTTTCTGATGGCTTTTGTGCATTCGAGCCTAAAGAATTTTACTCGATTGTCCCTATCATAATTCTTTCATACTTCTATCCTAAAATTCCTTTGAACGATTAGAACGATCTAGCCAATACTCCATCAGGAACACTAAACCTGCCAAATATCAGAGAAAAGTTCAAAGCTTTGTATCTAGTTTATTATGCACATTAATTTTCACCATTTTAATATAATAAAAATACTAAGAATATTGACAAACAAAATGTATTAACAATTTCTTCGACTCGAAAATAAAATCTGAGCTATGGTTTCTATGGCAAAGTTTACTGAAATAATCCAGAAATATATATATATATATATATATATATATAGAATTGTGTGTATAGGTATATATTATACATGTGTGCGTGCCTGCAAGTCCATACATTTATATTTATGCCGTGCTTTTAATATTTTTTGTGAGAAAATTATAAATATAACAAACTTAAACCCTTCATATCCTATCACGATTTCATTAAATTATGATATTCAGATGCATTTCAATTTCATTAACACTCCTATGATTAAGTCCTCTATTAATATATGAGTTTTGTAGCCTTTTTGCGGTAGTCGATTAAAATATCTCTATAACGAATGGTACATCTTGGGTGTTTAACATTAACAAAAATGCAAATTAAAAACATGTTTGATCTGTACAACTTACCGGATAATATTGCAAAACAATCTGATTCAATAATGTAGAGAGCGCATAGAAAACACCAACATTAATTCCATATGAACCTGCAATAAATGTAAAAATATTTATATATATAATATATTTATATATATATATATATATATATAAATATTTATATATATAATATATTTTTATATATATAAATCAATTACCGAGTAACAAGTCATATCCCACATTCGTAAGTAGCCTTTTGACTGATGTTGCAAAACTATGTTCAGCTTCGATATTAATCCCACTCTCAAGCTGCGATGAATTTTCGTTTGCATTAGAAGGCTCCGAATTAGTTTTATTTGACAAACCATACATTAGCTCTTTATCCTGAGCTGCTGATGGTGGAGTTGGTGGTTCTGCTTTGAACACTACAAAAAACAAAAATAGTACAAAACTAGATATCATCAGCTAAACGATTACAAAAAAAAAATCAGAATTGCAATAATGTATTTGCATATAGGGTTATGAGTATATATGAGTTATGAGTATATGAGTAATGGTTATGACTATATATACAAAATATGAAGTTAAAAATATGTATCACTTACAGAATATTACTAGAAGCAATAGCAATCCACAAAAACCAGCTACTAAGTAAAACATATTTTGCAGGTCTCTTCCAATTAATTCCAGATCATCATGATTTTTCACTAAAAGCGGAGGTAGTAAAAATCCTACAGCGACACCTAACTGAAAAACATGTTTATGAAATATTTTATCTAGTTAACTTCCCGCAGGAGAAGTTTATGTTTTCATCAAAAAATCCGATTTGCTAATTTTATGTTTTTTCGTTTCAAGCCATTCTGAATCGAATGAGACCAAATTTGGAAAAAGTATGTGTGTGTGTGTGTGTGAACAGATTTTCTGCCGTAAATCGACGTTTTCTTAAAACGGCTGGACTGATTTCAAAAATTTGAGTACCATTCGATGTATCTCGATGAGGATAATTGTTTGTCAGTTTTGTGCAACGATCGGCCAAGCCGTTTCCTTATTAATAACAGAAAAGTGAAAAAATTTTCGTCCACGTTTTAGCCCGCAATTCTGAATCGATTTTGAAAATTCAAAAACCGTTCGAAAGATATTGGTTTGGAATCGTGCTGATTAGTTTTTTTAAAGATTGGCCGGGCCGTTTTCTTGTAATGAAGTGTTTAAAAAAGTTTTTTTCGACGATTTTTTATTATTATTTTTTTGACGGTATATACCATAGTCTTATAGATCATACTAAAATAATACGGCCCTACAACACGTCGTTTAATTTTAAAAATTGATCGAAGTTTGCAAAAATTAGTATCGTTTTTTTTTAGCATTTGTCAAAATTAGACCTTTGATCGACGTTTTCTCAAAACGCCTGAACCGATTTCAGAAATTTTAAAACCATTTTTTATGTATCTCAATGAGGACTGTCGTTCGTCAGTTTTGTGCGACGATCTACCAAGCCGTTTCTTTGTAATTTGGAAAAAAATGTTAAACCTTTTGTCCACATAAAGGCTCATACTACTGAATCGATTTTAAAAAATCAAAAACTGTTCGAAAGATATTAGTTGGGAATGATACTGATTAGTTTTAGGTGAAAATCTACCGAGCCGTTTTCTTTTAATTAACTGTTGAAAAAAAATTTAAACCGATATTTATTAAACTTTCTTTGGAGATATATATCACGGCCTTATAGAACTTATTGAAATATTACGGCCTTACGACAAGTAGTTTAATTTTAAAAATTCATCAACGTTTGAGAAAATGAGTAGTTTTTTTTGACGTTTGTTAAAATTAAAATTAGACGATTTACTTGGTAAAACCATAATGCTGTGGAATGAACACTGAATTAAGTGAGATTTCAAAAACCTGTGAAAAACGATTGTATCTTCAGATTTTAATATTCAATTTCTACATTTTTAACTTCTCGCAGGGTCAGTTATAGCCATCGCAGAAAATTCGAAAATGATAATTTTTATATATCTTTACGTTTCAGAAGTTTTGGCATTCCCTACACAGAATGGATAAATGTGTATGTACATGTGTGTGCGGATACAATTTTTAGTCGACGATTTCGAGAACAGGGATCAAACAATTTGAATAATTAAAAAAAAAACTATTATATTGATAAGGAGATGTGCTGATTAATTTTTGGCGAAGGAAGGATGGCCGTTTCAAAGATACTGGGCAAAACGTTCCAAAAATTGTAATTCAGTTTTTGAAAAAACGGAGCGTCCGATTTGAATTATTCAAGAAACATTTTACTTGTATGGATGAAGTGAACAACTGTTAAAATTTTTGGAAAGACTAGCCAATTGCTATGAATGGTTTTGAAAATGTTTCATCTGATAGAGCGAATAAATTTAAGCTATGCAGCTCAGAAAATCTTG